TAAAAGGTGGACTTCCTTCAAAAAAAACACTCGCGACAAATACTTTGTTAAGGTGGTGGTGAAACAAGTGTGTTTAACAGGTTTTATTTTTTGTGTGTTTTTTTCTGTAAATTTATTTCACCATAATACCGTTTTTGCTTCAATCTATTTTTTGAATAATAAAAACTTAGCCTTACTATTTTTTATTTATATTAAACCATTACTTTGAAAGTATTACTATGATAATATTTTCATTTGATTTTATAAATTAATTATGATATTAATGTAATTATACCATTTTATCAATAGTAAATAACGACTTTGTAAATACACCAAGGTTTTACTGTTTTTAAACAACAACGAAAACGATGTTGTCCCGAAGATGATATTTGGAGTAATAATTTTTACTTTCGACGCGTTGTTTAAGAAACGATATTCACAATTATTTTTTTTGTCAAATTGAATATGTTTGAAAAATATATTATATTTGAAAGAACATAGACAATGGTGTTTGTTTTGATAGTCTAATCGATCTTGTTATTCCGCTATTTTTTATCACTAATTAATAATTAGTTTATTTTTTGAAACATAAAATATAGTTGTTTTTAAGAATTATATAGTTTGTTATATTTTTCAATTTTATTTTCACCAACTCAGAATTTTTGTTCACATCTCAAAAATAATCAAATTAAATTTTAGATAGATTTTTAGTAAAAAATGAAACAATCACACCAATACGTTGAATAAAAACAAAGGAACGTATTACAAAGAATTAAAAAAACGCAAAACAGACAAGTCAGCAAACTATTATCTTTTCAATTCATTGAACTACAACAAACTGTGTTATAGAATGTATTAAAACAATAAGTTAACATGTTTGTTATATGTAATGTATATATTAATCTATATATTCAATAACAATGACATTCAAGGTGGTTGAAATGTACTTGATAGTGAATCTGTTTTAGATACTCCAAGCACATCGCCTAATACTAAAAATTTTATCGGCTTGAAAATATATGTCTCGGGATTTCTGATGTTTCTATTGCGTAAATCCCGAAAAAATATAAAAATTATATTTTCGATATAATATCTTATTTAAACTAGTTCTTATTTGTTAGTTGGTTTGAGTAATATCCTTGTGCAGAAAAATGTCAAGAAAAAATAAAACGGGCATGACAGTTTTTTTTAAAAGACCAAACGACAAAAAAAGAAAAAAATAACACTGCCTAATAAAAAAATTAACAGGGAAACAAGGAAACGTGTTAAACAATGGAATTATTAGGGTTATATTTAAATGGTAATACCAATTTATGGTTTCCAGTTTATACTTTATTGTTTTTAAAATGTTAAATTGTTTTGGGTTTATAAAAACAAAATTTATGCCAACGGTTTGACATAAAAAATAAGAAGATAAAATAAACAATAAAATTCTTGAGTTGTTTGGTTCAAAAAGTTCAAATTTCTTTGAGTCTATTTCTGTTCCTACAGTTGACCAAAAAATAGTCAGAGACCAAATAATTGTAAGAAGAAAAAATAAATAGTTTTAAAACTTTAATCAAGAACTATTTTAAAAATAGAAATGGGTTTCTTAGTATTATTTGATGTACCTTTTTTCACTTTTTTAATTAGTTATTTCCAAGGTAATTAACGGGGAATACATCTTTCTTACAATTATTTGGTCTCTGATAATTATTTGGTTAACGGTACTATTAATCAATAAAAAGTCAAAAAACCCTCAAAAAATTAAAAATAAAAACGTTTAATTTTAGGTATAAATAAGTTAGAATTCTTTTTCCAATAACCAAAGAATTCAAAATTGGTTAATTTAATAACCCACTTCCGAATTTCTTTTTTCAGTTTATACTCACGATTATATTCAAAAAACAACAATATAAAGAATACGAAGCATTTTGGCTTAACACACAGTTGAATATCAAACTCATCATACGATCTCCTTACTTTTCTTACTGAACTGCGTTTTTGGTAATTCCCGTGAGACATCAAAACTATTTCGAGTGAGCACAAGACTCTCCTCATCGTCTCCATCTTCAACCTCGATTTTGTTCACCATGATATTTGGGGTTTCTACCTTCTCCAAGTCGTCATTGTTAGTGACCAATCCGTTATGTAACACTGTCGATATTTCGTGTAAGTCCGCACTCAACTGATTTTTAATTTCTTCATTCGATGCTCTTCGGTCGAACTCTTCTCGGAGCAAGTTGAGGTGTCTTGAC